TTCCTTGGGGGGAGTGAAGGCCCGGCCAAGCCAGGCCGGGATCCCAGAGGAGGATTGGGCCATCAGGGTAACAGTCAGAGGGTTTGCGATTTCTGAAGAGGAGGGTGTTAGACAGAATCTTCTTGTAAGAAAGAAGTGATTTCAGAATTTCTGACTTGCATGTGTTAACCGTTCACCCGGAAACCAGATGAAAATGATGGAGCCATGTGGTTGTCCAGAAAAGCTTCTGGACGTCTCAGGGCTGAGGGGCAGACTGGGCCCCAGTGCCCCTCCTGCCCCAACCTCTGGACATCTTAGAGCTGAGAGGCAGGCTGGGCCCCAGTGCCCCGCCCCCCCGCCCCAACCTCTGGACATCTCAGGGCTGAGAGGCAAGCTGGGCCCCAGTGCCCCCCCACCCCAACCTCTGGACATCTCAGGGCTGAGAGGCAGGCTGGGCCCCAGTGCCCCCCCGCCCCAACCTCTGGACATCTCAGGGCTGAGAGGCAGGCTGGGCCTCAGTGCCCCACCCCCCACCCCAGCCTCTAGACATCTTAGGGCCAAGGGGCAGGCTGGGTCCCAGTGTCCCCCACCCCCAGCCTCTGGGCGTCTCAGGGCTGAGGGGCAGACTGGGTCCCAGTGCCCCCTCCTAGCCTCTGGACATCTCAGGACTGGGGGCAGACTGGGCCCAAGTGCCCCCCAAGACCCGGGGTCGTTTAAACCAGTCGAGCTCCCCCCCCCAGTACCGGGCACCTCTCACTCTCAGGGGGTGACTGCCAGGACCCCTGGCCAAGGGCCCCCCGCCCCACCATGCTGAGCACACGGAGTCAGAGGACGCTCGTATCTGCAGACGGCTAGAATTCAGAAATGGAAGCCGTGCAGCAGGCGTTTTGGCAGCCCCCCTCCCAACCTGTGCCACCAGGTGTCACACTTCCCCACCCATGGGCTTTGCTGTGCTTGACAGTGTCATTGACTGTTAGAGACGTCACTTTCCCCAGTCCAGCTAACGCAGACAGCTGCCGTTTGCAGAGTGACCACTGTGGCCGTTACCTAAACACGTACTCGCAAATCCTAAAGCCACCCTGCCCAGTAGCTGTTACCATGAGCAGAGAGGAGACAAGGATCCTGGCAGTTACTGGACTCGTCGACATCCACACCACGAAGAGGAACAGGGCAGCGTGCCTACCCACGTCTCTCTAATACCAGAAAGTGGGCAGCCTTTAGCCCACACTGACCAGGGCACTTCCTGTCCCCTCCCTGGGCCACTTTAGAAAGTACATAGAGCTGATCTCCACCCCTGGTTTGTCAGGGTGGGCAAGGACCACAGGCTTTGGCTATAAGTTATTATAACAGCATGATAATATTATGTTAGTATATAATAATTTACTCGTTAAAGTAGAGGGTCAGCGAAAAAAAGGAAGACCCTCAACGAGATGGCTCAACACAGTGGCTGCAACCACAGGCTCAAACATAGCAGCAGCTGTGAGGACAGAGCAGGATCGGGCAGTCTGTCGTTCTGTAGTATGTGGGGTCGCTGTGAGTTGGAACCGACTCGACGGCATCTAACAACACATGTAACAAATGCACGGACAGGAGTGAGGGTTCTGAATTTGCACCCAAAAAACCCAGATGCCCTTGTCTGAGGCCTCTTTTTGTACTAGTTGGACTTGAGCTGTTAAAGAGAATGATGCCTGACACAGAACAGAAACTCAGTGACTGTACTTTGCTTTCCGGCCACCTCCTGGTTTCTGAAAACGGACAGTGAAACGTTGCATTCCTGAAGGACCCAGAAATGGGCGGGAAAGGCTTGCTTTCAAGCAGCGCAGAAGTTTTGGCCACGAGCTCTGGTTCTGTGAGAAGACAGAAGCGGCGAATTGAACAGGCCTGCGGGGCGTCCTCTGTGGGCAGTGTGTGGGGCCAGGTGGATGTGGGGGGAGGGGAAAGCAGACACCCCCAAGAAGTCAAAGTCCAGGAAACTCTGCTACTCTGTTTACGGTGTTCCTTGGTGATGGTTAGGGAGATAAAGCCTGTTTTCTGCATTCATGTTGTTAGAGGTTTCAAAAACCCAAAACCAAACTCATTGCTTTCAAGTTGATTGCAACTCATAGTGAGCCATAGGACAGAGTAGAACTGCCCCGTAGGGTTTCCAAGGCTGTAAATCTTTACGGAAGCAGACTGCCACACCTTTCTGCCACGGAGCAGCTGGTGGGTTCGAACTACCAACCTTTTGGCTAGCAGCCGAGCACTTCACCATTGCGCCACCAGGGCTCCCTTACAGGTTTTAAAGACCTTCATGAACAGTAGTCACCCCGAGACAACTAATGTATCAGAGGTAGATCAGCTGTGAAGCCCAGTCCCTCGTCCCTAATCTCATGTACATAACCTTAGAATCTTTCTCTCATAGAAGGCTCCAAATGTGATACACGCTTTCAGCCCGGCAAAACCTGGGCCCACCTTTATGATGCCTTACGAACAGCACCAGTTTTTAAAACCAAAGAGCCACTTCAGCGTGATTCTTAGCCACGTGTAGGGTTCTGTCTGCTCGGATGAGCTCGTTTGTGGGGTGCCCAGATTCCAGGGCAGAACGTCCCCGCCGCGCTCCCTGTGTACAGACTGACTGCAGGAAAGGAATTAGAAGGTGTGGGCTCCTGTTCATTCTTTGGGGTGTTTGAATATTCAGAAGACAATTTCATTAGTGCAATTAGGACACTAGTTACTACTGTAAAGTTCCCTGCTTTATCGTTAGATGATTTCACGATGACTATTAAAATCGACCGGACAGAGTAAAATAGTTGTGACTTGAATGCCTACCCAAAAATGAGAGTTAGAACATTGGCACTTAAAAAGCCATATGCATCCTCCACTATCGTCCTTTTTCCTATAATTCAAGTTTTGCTCCTTCTCTTTTGATTTTGAAATGCATTCACAAGTTTTGAATCCAGTACATTTTAAAGAATGTTTTTAGATAACATCAGAAATGCTTTTTTTTTTTTTTTCTTAACCAGTATTCTGTGACGTTGCTGGTGCTTTTTTTGTTTGCGTTTTTGCAGAAGCGGGGATGCACGTGTGAGGGTGAGGACCCCCTGCGCATCGCGTTTGGGGAGCCGGTGTGTTCATTCTCAGCTGTAGCCAAGTGTTTGTCCTGGAAGTCTTGAATGAAAAGAGTCGGGGGTCACTCTGGGGTCACTCACACGTACCAGGAAGTGATGCAAAGCTAATCCAGATTTACTCCTGGAAGACTTTGTTTGCCTAAGTATTTAAAAACAGATTAGGGCCAACCCGACACTGGATTACCAGGGGCAGTGTCAACATGGGGAAAAGGTGTCAACAAGGCCTTTTTTTTTTCTGTGCTTCAGAAGGAAAAATGTTGTGGGAAATGAGTTTCCTTTCTAGAATATCGCTGAGGCCCTAAGCGATTTCTGTGTGCTTTGCAGCTGTGTGCGCTGATGATTCCCCTGGAGAAAATGCTGGATTTGGGGAGGGGACAGTTGTGAATCAGTGTGTGATTTAGGTTACTTTGCTTTCTTTTTCCACCGCCCTCCGCAGAGCGTCTGCCCAGGCCTAAGGGTGCAGCGCGGTGAGCAGGACACGGCTCCAGGGCTCGCCAGTCTGAAGAGCCACTTGTAAAATCTCATTTCTGGTCTTTTGATTTTTTTTTTTCCTTTTTATTTGCCATGATGCTGCAGACAGTTGAGGGTTGCTGAGCTGTTTTTAATGTCTCTTGCATCCATCCTTCTCTGAGAAACTAAAACGAAAGTCTGTCACAAGTATCCACAAAGCTCCAAGTGTGGAACCAGACAGCAACCCCACCTTTCAGCCAGTAGGAACATGTGCTGCTGCCCGCTTCTCCCTCCCTCCCTCCTTTTCTTTCTGTCCTTTCTCTCTCTCGCTTTCTCTCTTTCTTCTTCCTCTCTCTCTCCCTTTCTTTCTCTTTTTCTTTCCCCCTTTCTTCTGCTTCTCTTCCCATCCCACCTTCTTCTTTTCTCTCCGTCCTCCCTGATCAGTGTCCCCATTGCTTTCAGACCCCAGGGTGGAAGAGGGTCCCATTATCACACTCACCGGGCCCAGGATGCTCTCCCTCAGCCAGGCTGTACCATCATGGGGTGGCCCCCCAGCCAGCCCCCTCCTCTAGCCCTAGCTCAGCTCTGGCCTCAGGGTGCTGCCTTATCTCCTAGGCTCGGTCCTGGAACATGTCCCTCAGAAAACCCAGCCAATCTTGGTCACATAAGGGGTTGGTGGCACTTTACCACCTCTGCTGCAGCCTTTCTCAGGTATCCAGAAACATTACAGAATCACTCATAGTGTTGAGCTCAGTCTGTATCTCTTTCTAAGCCTGCCCGTGGGAGTCGACCCTTTCATATCTGGGTGATATACTTCAACTGCAAGTGTTTAGAGACCCTGAGGAATTACACACACACATACACACACGCACACACACACACACACACACACGCACACGCGCACACACCTGCATGCAGGCATGCGCACACGCCCACTCACGTACACACGTGCACACATGCAGATGCATGCACCCACGAGATGCACATGCATGCACCCACTCAGACATGAACTAAAAGCACTACAGTCACACCCAAGGGGGCGAGCTCCCCAGCTCTCCTGCCGCCTTCCACCTGGACTCGGGCCAAGTGTCCTTAACCCCAGCTTTCACAATTTTTGCTGCAATGGTAAAGCTGATCTCACAGCCTGCCAAGTCCGAGCATGCTGGCTCCCACCACTAGGGTGGTTCTCCCAGGACACTTCTATGTTAAAAGCTGAGCGAAATCAAGTGAGCGTTCCAGGCCACGGGCCTCGGCTCAGTGGTTCTCAGGCCTCAGCCGCACCAGAATCGCCTGCAGGGCCCGTGGCCGCCCCCAGACTCTGAATCGGGGGCTGGGCTGGGCCCGAGGGCCGGCATTTCCAACAGTTCCCGGGTGGTGCTAACCGTCCCCCAGGTGGTCCCCTGGGTGTCCCCACGCCTTCAGTCCTCTGCCCTTTGTAAACAAGCCTATCTTTTGTCTCCACAGGGAGGAGAAGGAGCGGTGGATCCGGGCCAAGTATGAGCAGAAGCTCTTCCTGGCCCCACTGCCATGCTCAGAGCTGTCCCTGGGCCAGCACCTGCTGCGGGCCACCGCCGACGAGGACCTGAGGATGGTCATCCTGCTGCTGGCGCACGGCTCCCGGGACGAGGTGAACGAGACGTGTGGCGAGGGAGACGGCCGCACGGCCCTGCACCTGGCCTGCCGGAAGGGCAACGTGGTTCTGGTGCAGCTCCTCATCTGGGTAGGTGGCCTCCCCCGGGTCTCGCCTTTGACCCTCTCATCTGGGCCTCTCTCTGGCCTCCCACCCGGGCCCCCACCTAGCCGAGGAGAACCATGTCCTTGTGGTGTTCTCCAGTCGTTCTGCTTCTGCAGCATCTGTTTGGTAGAAGGCTGTCTTAGGATTCTCCAGAGAAACAGAACCAGTACGATACAGAAAGATTTATTTTTTGGAATTGGCTCACACAATTGTGGGGCTGGCAACTCTAAAATCTGTACATCAGGAGGTGGACTGGAAACTCCCGAAGTCTTGTATCCAAAATCCACATGTCATGTGGCTGGCTGGAAACTTCAGCTGGATGTCTGTGTGAGGGTCTCGAGGCAGATTCCTTCTCCCTCAGGAAAGCCCCTTTTTGCTCTAAAGGCCTTCAACTGATTGGGCAAGGCCCACCCACAATGGAGGGTAGTCGGCTTTGCTCAGCATCAGCTGATGTAAACGTTAATCACGTGTAATGACCTTCAGCCAACGTCTAGACTAGCCTTTGACCACACAGCTGCCATCATAGCCTGGCCACGTGGACACATACAATTAACCAGCACAAAGGCTCTTGCTACTAATCTGAAGATCAGAATTAACTGCAATAGGGAGGTTAGGATTTAAATATGGATGCCTTTTGGCCTCCCCCGTGTAAGGGCTGAAAACGCGGGGGCACCTGTCCAAGGACTGATACCAAAGAAGAAACGAAGTCAGTGGACACTCTCCTCTTTGTACAACTGTTGACTAAGAGTTGATGGATGTTTCCTCTTTTTGATGACCCATTTTTTCAGGTCAAGCATGGTTGACAGTGTCCCTCTTTTTGGTTTTACGGAAAACTCCTATCTTCTTTTTTTGGTGGCAGTTGGGGACACAAACTGAACATGGTTTTCCCACTGTCATACCTTTGAGGCTTTATCCTCTTGACACAAAATACTGGGTCCTGAACTTTGAGATTTGTTGTGGCGGGAATTTGCAGAAGGCTTCTTCTGGACTATTCTGATTATACTGAGAGGAAAAACAATTTAATTCATTTGGAAGCATTTGTCTTGAAGCTTAAATGAGTAGAAAAGAGACCTGCCCTGGCCGGCCACGAGTGGCATGGGAGAAGCCCACATGCCCACACAGTGGCAGGTGGGACCCCTTTGGGGACATCAGCCTCAGGGGACCCCATCAGGGTGCAGAGAAAGCTGCCTGCTAAGACGTCCCTAGGTGGGGGGGCCTCGGGCTGGGCCACCACTGCTAGGGGCTCTCCTGTCCCCGTCCCCAGGCAGGAGATGGGGTCTGTCCCCCAGCAGCAGAAGAGGGGTGCAAGTTTCTATCTGTGTTTTCGTTTGGGTTTTTGGTTTTTAGGTGGTTTTTTTTTTAATGTACTTTATATTTTTTAGAGCAGTTTTAGGTTTGCATAAAAATGGGGCAGAAAGTACAGAGCGTTGCCACAGCCCCCTCTCCCCCTGCACACAGTGTCTCGTAAATTAACACCTTGCATTCCTGTGCTACGTGTCTTACAGCCAATGAACCGATAGAGACACAGTGTTCTTAACTGAAGTCCCTAGTTTATGTTGGAGTTCACTCTGGTGTACTGTCCTGTGGGTTTTGACAGATACATCATGTCACGTGTCCCCCATTACAGCAGGGTGCATGCAGGGTCATTTCACTGCCCTGAAAATGCCCGTGCCCCACCTATTCACCCCCCTCCCCTCTGTGTATAGTTTTAATCTGACTTTTCTGAGGGACGGTAGGGAGAGTTAGATGCACAGATACTGTATCAAAACCACTCAAAGTTTCAGCGTCACTTTTACTTGCTAATACATGTGATCTCATGCAAATTAGGTGGTAACGGCATGCCATCTTTTCCTCTCCGATTGGCCCAGATTTTCCTCCCTGTTAATGCGCCGTGCCGATGACACTCCCAACAGCATGCTCAGGTGGGTGGGCGGGAGCGGAAGCTAATCTGCCTTTTTTCAAGAGCAAGAGGTTTAGGGATGTTGTGTTCCTTAACCTAGTAATTCCACTTGTAATCATGCCCCCAGCAATCAAAGATTCTGAGGCAGATTTGATGTGATCACCCACGTCACAGCCTTATTTGTACCAGTGACAATTTGTAAACAAATGAGATGTCCAACAATGGAGGATGGAGTAACTGTTCATACAGTGAATGTTTGACGGCTATTGGTGTCATGCTTTCGAGTACTCTGTAATGATGTGAGAAAGTGCTCCTCGCGCAGAGTTCAGTGGGAGAAAGCAGGACAGATTATTTGTATAGCTTTGTCTCAATTCTGCACATACACATTGAGATTCAAAGAATAGCATCAGAAGGAAATACACTAAAAGATAGACAAGGTTTTCTCTGAGTAGCAAGATGCTGGGTGATTTTTATTTTCTTGTGCTCTTATATGCTTCACAGATTTCCTACAAGAATGAATTGTCTCTGAGATCAAGAAGAGATTAATTTTTGCTTTTGCAATTAGTCAGAATTGAAATAGCCCAACTAAAGTTCTCTTTGTTCCGTTCATATTGCACAAAGGATCTGCTTTCAGTTATGAGAAGCACATTCTTCTCTTAAGAGAATGTGCCACCAACTGTTGAGAGTCCCACCTCCCCACCCAGTTCACCTGTAGTATGGTCCTAGGTCCATATCCACATACAAGCTGTGTGCAGGGGGTGAGAGAACACTTCACTTGCCCCTCTCCACCACCTCCTCCCTCTCCTCTCCCTCACCTCCTCCTTCACCTCCCTCTCCCTCACCTCCTTCACTCCTCACCTCCCTCTCTCCTCACCTCCCTCTCTCCTCACCTCTCTCTCTCCCTCACCTCCCTCTCCCCTCCTCCTCACTTCCCTCTCCCTCACCTCCCTCTCTCCTCACCTCCCTCTCCCCGCCTCCTCACCTCCCCCCCTCCTCACCTCCCTCTCTCCTCACCTCCCTCTCCTCACCTCCCTCTCCCTCACCTCCCTCTCCCTCACCTCCCCCTCCCTCACCTCCCTCTCTCCTCAACTCCCTCTCTCCTCACTTCCCTCTCCTTCACCTCCCTCTCCTCACCTCCCTCTCCCTCTCCCTCACCTCCCTCTCTCCTTACCTCCCTGTCCATCACCTCCCTCTCCATTGCCTCCCTCTCTGTCACCTCCATTCTCCCCTTTCCTCCCCTGGAGCAGGGACACTAACGTGGACTCTGTTGCCTGCAGTATGGCGTGGACGTCATGGCCCGGGATGCCCATGGGAACACGGCGCTGGCCTACGCCCGGCAGGCCTCCAGCCAGGAGTGCATTGATGTGCTGTTGCAGTACGGCTGTCCCGACGAGCGCTTCGTCCTCATGGCCACCCCCAACCTGTCCAGGAAGAACAACAACCGGAACAACAGCAGCGGAAGGATGCCTACCATTATCTGAAGGGTCGCTTGAACCTGCCGACACCTGCCACCGCACAGCCTGGCCGCACCACCTCTCCTGGAAGTGACCGCACGTGAGTCCTCCCACGTCCCCGCCCTCCTCCTGGTGGTCACCTCCCCGTCGCCCACCCCACCCCCTGAAATCACAAAACTTGGACCGTCCTGAGGAGGTGAAGAGGAGGCAGGAGGCTGCAGAACCGATTCCTTTTCCTACCACCTCCTGAGTGACAAGCAGGAGACGCCCGCCAGCCTTGGTCCTTTGATGATAGCACACGACTCCGCCGCGGGACACGCGTCCCTGTGGCCAGCAGACACCGCGCAGCGGGCAGCGCGGGGACGGGTACGAGAGCGGGAGGGGAGGCGAGGAGCCAGGAGAAGGGGTAACTTTCCTTGACTGGCAGTTAAGCACATCAGTACATTCCACCTCTACCAAATGGAACGCTTGGATTTCATCCCTTCTCCAGGAGCTTGACGGCATAAATCAGAAGCAAGCACAGAGTTTGTCAGGTTTGAAGCCCCTATGATGGTGTGTGTCAAATCAGTTGTAGCTAATCTGTCCGGGGAGAGTACTGGCTTCATTACACTCGTATAGTTGAGTTCTTCCAGCATTACCGCTGTTTAATAGAACATGATTAGTCATCACCCAGAAGAAAGCATATTAGCCGAGGAGGTAGTTACGCGGCATGCTCCAGTGATTGCCAGAATGTGATTGCAATATTCTTAGAAGCATCATATTATCCCGACATGTTCTTTCGAGCCCTTGGAGCCCTCCTTTCTAAATTCACTGTCATAATTTAGTATCTGTTTAATTTTTCAGTCCAAAGAGAGGAAATCAGATGCTGAGGATTATTTGAAAGCGGTCTCCTTGGTGTAGAAACAAAAAGGGGAAAATAAATAGGGGCGACTCTGAAATTTGGAAGGAAAGAATGAACCCAGCCAATCATAACACTTCGAGTACATTTAGTAAGCTAAATAAATACATAAAAGGCTATTTTTTTCCCTGGCGTGACAGAGAGTTTATGTCCTTGCGCCAAGGTGAATGTGTTGGGCTCAGTCACTCCAGCGCTGCGTTGCCCGACTTACACAGCTTTCTATATTCTGTCTTTTAGATGAGATGTGTGAAAATCTATTTGAATAAAAGACATTCATAAATATGCATCGATTTTTGTACAGACAAATGGCATCTCTGTTAATTTATAAATTGAACTGGATGTGAACTAATAATGTGCAACTAGTTGAGATAAGAGGGTCACAGATCATTGTACATGGAAAATATTCCCAGCAGTAAACACTTCCATTAATGTGATATACAGCTTTTGAAAGGGAACATATCAGAATAAGATGGTGGTACAATTTGCTTATTAAAATCGAGAAAGAAAAAAGACAATGACGCATCTTATGAAGGGGGAGAGGCATGTGATTTCTCACTGGCAGAAGTGTGATTTAGATCAGATACCACTTTTGCTAACCAAGAGGAAGAGGCTACGGCAAGACGATGATTTCTGAATCCCAGACCTGGGTGCTTTGGAAAGGCGGGTCGTGACCAGCTGCCGACTGTTCTGTGGCTCACAAGCATCCTTAAGACTTTGACTTGGTGGCCAAGCTCTTCATTCTAGTAGGTCACCAGATTTTCCGTTGTGGTGGTATTGGGCTGCTTCAATGTGATGGTCAGACAGAGCAAACCAAATCATGATACCGTAGGTTACAAAGAAGAAGGGGCGACATTGGCTGGAGCCCTCTGACACTATGACAGGAAGAGGCTTTGTCACACTGTAAGACCACATTGTAGGAAAACAGTACCATCCACCCAGCCACCACCGGAAAAGCCCCTTGCTCTGATACATGAAACCTTCTATTTTGTAAGAGTTTTTCCTCTTCTTTCACTTTTGAAAAAAAAATTAAAATTAAAATAGGTGGAAATAAAATAAAGCTTTACACAGAGTTTATATGTGGCTAAGTGTTTCGTGGAAATTTCTAATCTCTATTAAACTCAGTCAGGAGCCCTGGTGGCACAGTGGTTTAGCACTCGGCTGCTAACCAAAAAGGTCTGCAGCTCGAACCCACCAGCCACTCCGCGGGAGAAAGACATGGCAGTCTGCTTCCATAAGATTACAGCCTTGGAAACCCTCGGGGGCAGTTTTACTGTCCTGCAGGGTCGCTATGAGTCAGAATCGACTCAGTGGCAACAGCTTTGGTTTTTCGGTTTTTTTAATTAAACTTATTGGAACTCACCAGTATCCAAGAATATCAGGTGCAGGGGCCACACATCTGAGAATTGCAACAAAAATTCCATAATCGCGCCATTCATTTTTTTAATTCTGTGTTTCATCACTGTGTAGTTATTTTAAATGTGAACAGGGAAAAAAAAAAAGTCATGGCCTATTTTTAAAGCGTGCTTTACTGTTCTAACCCAGCTACATGTTCACCTCCACCCAGCCTTCAGCGTAGACTTCACGTAGTGAACGCAGATATAGTATAATTGAAATTCTTAAATTATTTCATTGTAGCTAATTCCCACTATAGGAATGCTTTATCATAGCGAAGACTTCTGTTGGACAAAAAAAAAAAAAAAAAAAAGAATTCTTGTACGGCTTCTTTGGGATGTATATGAGTGTGTACATATTATTATATGTGTTTATAATATAATATTTTCCCAAATGACTTCTTTTTTCACTTAACCTTCTGCAACGTGAGTGCTAGGTTGGTTTTTTCCCTCCAGGAAGGGGGTGTTGCTGTGCCCCCCTGTGTTTTAAGCAACGTTGATCTGCTCCAGGAGGCAGCCTGCTGTCTCGAACCCCAGTTTTGGCAACAGAGGAAAGGGGGTCACGGGCTGCAAGGGTTTTCTTTTAAAATAAAGGTGACTAGAGACTCATCTATTTGTATTTCCATGTCAAACTAGGAGTCTTCACCTGGCTGGCATTGCTCTCATTTTTCTTTTAAAACGTTACTAAGGCTAAGGCTGGAGGAGCTGGGAGGGGGCGCAGTGTAGGAAGGGGTTGGGTTTTCAGTGCTTCTTTCTGTGTAAGTTGGGAGAAATGATGATAACCTGAGACACCACCTTGGCAGAATACATCTATCTAGCCTTTTCTGTTCAAAATTTAAATGTTCCCCCGTCGAGAAGCAGCCAGCTGGGGGAGGTGCATGACAGATGTGCACGGGTGACCTAGACCCTTCCCAGTTCCCACGTCCGAGCAGCAACCCCAGCAGCCGAGTGGTCAGTGAACTGAGCAGTGGGCAGCACAGACCTGGCTGATGTCTCCAGTGGTCACGAAACCCTGCAGCGAAAGTGTTCTGGGATTCGGATCCCCCGGGAACAGATCTCTCATACTGGGCTGGACACAGGGCTCCCCGAGCCCAGCCCCCACCATGGTCAGGCCCTTTCTGTCCCCTGTCATCCCAGGACGATGGGAAGGTCCTGAGGGACAGCGAGTGACTGGCCCTCAGTCTTTGGTCCCACTGATGGTGTGGCTTCATGTCTCCCAATAAGTGCACGATATTTACATGTCCCAGAAAGACAGGTGACGGCTGCGGGGTGTGTGCTGATTATGAGGTTACTGGACAGAAGAGGGAGTCCCTGGGTGGCCCAAATGGTGAAAGACTCGGCTGCTAACCAAAAGGTTGTTGGTTCGAATCCACCCAGAGTCTCCTTAGAAAAAAAGGCCTGGAGATCTACATTCTGAAAAATGAGCCATTGAAAACCCTATGGAGCACAGTTGTATTCTGCGCAGATGGCGTCACCATGAGTCAGAGTCAGCTCAACAGCAAATGCTTTTTTGTTTGTTTTGTTTTGGACACAGAAGAAAGTGGGCTTTTATTAAATTACTGTTGACTCAAGCCCTTAAGTCAGGCTATTTTCTGCAGGGCTGAGAGTCTCCCGGCCAGCCCTGGGCGGCTGGCTGTTCAGTACCAAGTGGAAGGCACCCTCCTCTTGAGATTGTGCCCAGCCTGGCAAGGTCTCTTTGTAGCCAGTCTAGACACCAGTCTTCCTGGGTTTTGTGACATCTGACATGTTAGAGTTGTACCCATATATCTGCATCAAGGTTGCTCAGTTCATTAGGGGGGAGCACGGCCAAATGGAAACAACAGCCCTGAGCCTGCAGACCCAGATTCAAATGCTAGCTCGGCCATCCCACCAAACGCATTGGCAAATATTCGCTTCTCGGACTCTGTTTCCCCATCTGTGAAATTAGGATCATCTTCAGGGACTTAGTGAGGGTTTTTGTTTATTTAATCGGATTTTAGGTGAAAGTTTACACAGCAAATAGTTCCCGTTCAACAATTTATCCACAGATTGTTCCATGACATTGGTTATAATCCCCGCAATGTGTCAGCACTCTCCCCATTTTCCATCCTTCCAGTTTCCCTGCCCCTCCTGCCTTCTCATCTTTGCTTTTGGGCAAGTGTTGCCCGTTTGGTCTCGTATAGTTGATTATTCTAAGGAGCACATTCCTCACGGGTGTTGTTGTTTATTTTTTAGGCCAATCTATTATTTGGCTGAACAGTAACGCAGGGAGGTTTTGAATTGGTGTAATCAGCGGCGGCCGGGCGCCTGGCAGTGATGGAGGCCACAGAGACAGGAGCTTTTATTAAGGACAGAAAAGTGATAGGACTGAGGCCAGACCCCCACACCCACTCGGGAACCTGCTCCAAGCTGATGTCAGGTCCCCAAGCCAGTGCCCTGGGAGCTAGCAATTGTCACCTTTGCCGGCCCTCCTCCTGGCCAAGTCTCTGGTCCTTCCTTCCCTCTCGGAAGCCCGTTGGGGCCCCTCCCTGCCCCTGCATAATGGAAGTGAGGGTCCCCGGGGGCTCCTGCCCACTGACCACCTTGGCAGTCTGCAGTTTATCCTCCATTTTTCAGTCTGAGTTTCATTTTCCCCGATGGGAAGCAGAGACAGGAAGGGGTTGCAGTTCATTCCTGTATCATCCACGCATGTTGCTTTAGGCCCCAAAACGATCCTCCTCCCCCACACCTTGCTGCTGTGCTGTTGGCTGGGCGACCCCCTCCCCAACCAGCACACACTGCTCCTCATGCTGGTGCCCTTTCTCCCACCTCCTTTGAGGATCAGGGTGTCCCCAGGGGGTGCCAACGTTTAACATACGCAGCTACTAACCAAAAGTTGGAGGTTCAGGTCCACCCAGAAGCACCTCGGAAGAAAGTTCTGGTGGTCTGCTTCGGAAAATTCAGCCCCCGAAAACCCTGTGGAGCACAGTTGTATGCTGACACACATGGGGTTTCCGTGAGTCGGACTTTGCTTCAGGGTCTTACAACTTTCTCCCCTGCTGCGTTTGTCTGATTGAACGGGGAGTGTCCACCTCAGAGCCATCTGCCCTCCCCGGGTCCCCTGCCCTGACTGACGCTAGACTGTCCTTCCTCTAACCTTCCTGAGCTTGTCTTCCTTGCTGTCATAGCCACCATGTCCTGCCCAGCCACCAGCCTGAGCTCTGCACGCGGGTGACGTGGGAGCCAGCAGTTCAACTCCACCAGTCTTCCTCCCTGTCGTGATCAGAGCTACATTCGGGGGGAGAAGGGCAGTGTCCAGATTCTGTCCAGGGGAGGTTTGGGAGCCTTGTTAAAATGTTCTCCTCACAGAAAGTGTTATCAAGCCCCCAAAACCTCACACGAGACAGAGATGTGGGAAAGCAAATTCGCCCCACCACACACACACACCTGCTCTGTCTCCGTCCCTCACACACCCCGCAAGGCCACCCAGACTCTTCTAGAACTCCCTCCCCTGGATTGTGGTTATATCCTTCAAGCAAACAGAATTGAAAAGCATCCAGGAAGGAATTCAGATTGAAATGTGCTGAAGAGACACATCTTTCTTTTAAAGAAAATATAATTTATTTCTGACTGCCTCCTCAGACTTAGGTTCCACGTGTCCATGTGTTGTTGAGAGTTTTCACCCTTCTCCTTTACCTCACCCTCCTCCTTTACCTCACCCCCATCCTTTACCTCACCCCCTCCTTTACCTCACCCCCTCCTTTACCTCACCCCCTCCTTTACCTCACCCCCC